CAGGCCTGGGGTGGGCTTCGACGGCGGCCCCGGGAGCAGCGCGATGCAGGCCAGGCCTCTGCCTAGTGCTGCCAGAGTGCCCCGGAACGAGCGGGTCTTGTCCCTGGTAATGTCCTTTGTGGCACTTGGGGCTTTCTTTTGTTTTTTAGAGGTACATGGAAGTGAGCGGCAACCTGAGAGACTTGTATGACGACAAGGACGGGTGAGTGCTTGTACAAACACCTCGTTTGGCATGTGTGCAGTTGAGCGCCTGCTGAAGGTGTTTTGCAGATGAAGAACTTGGCTGTTCTAAGTCAGCTGTAAACATATGAGGAGTAATGATGGTATGTGAGACCAGGAATCAAGTTTTGGAGACTAAACCTGCCAGAGCAGAACCCAGATTGCACACTGAATATGTACGTGCTGGGTATATGCATTTTGCTATTTTGTTGGTTTAAGTCATGAGGGGAGGCTGTGAGTTGCCTTGAAAGTTTGTAAGTGGAGACTACAGCGTGTTTAGTGGGATACGTGACCCAGAGCCTCAAGCTGTAAGCCCAGCAGACTGTGAGATGTGATGTGACTTTCTGAGGTTTGCAGTCCTTCTTACTGGAGCTTTGTGTGATCAAAATGCAGCGCTAGACCTGGAAAAAGATTTTTATTAGTGTCAACATGTTTTCCTTTCCACTGGTAATCTGTCCTTTTTCATTAACTCGTAGCTTGCGGAAAGAAGAACTCAGTGCCATTTCAGGCCCAAATGAATTTGCAGAATTCTACAACAGACTGAAACAGATTAAGGAATTTCACCGTAAGCACCCAAATGAGGTAAGTAGCTACCTATTTCATAAGAACAGGTGATTTATGGTCTGTTGAACCTCATCTCTACAATGAGCGGTCCTTTTTTTTCCAGTTTAGTTGCCTTAATGTACAAGTATTAAGTACACTAAAATGTTACTTAAGAAAAGAAGATGTTCAGGGTTAGGTAGTATGTAAGATACTTATATATTTCAGAGGCAGTATGTAAGCTCCTGTGAGAGTGGTATGAAAAGGAGAAGATACAAGATGCTGTGTTGTCTGCTTGCTGTGTGTTAGTTCAGGAACATTCTGCTGCTGAGCTGGCATTTGGTCTTGCCTTTCTCTTGCTGGCTAAAGTCCAACTTTTTTTCTTTGTGAAAAAGTAATGATGAAGAAATGCTTTGAATACCTTTTCAGCTAGCAGTTTTATTGTTCGCAACCTGTTGTGATTTTATATTAGCTGAAGTAATAATTTTTTCTGTAACTTCTGCCTGTTCTTAAAAGATCTGTGTTCCAATGTCAGTGGAGTTCGAGGAACTGTTGAAAGCCAGAGACAACCCAAGTGAAGAAGCTCAGAGTAAGTTTGTAGTTTTTCTGAGGCCAGTTTAAGTGAAAATATGGTCCTTGCTTGAGAGGTGGTGTTTAATGAATTGTTTGATCTGTTTTGCTTGTTTCAAGAGTTCCACTTCCGTTTTTACCAAATGACTTCTGAAAATTTTTCCTTTGTCATTTAAATTCTTCTGAACTGCAGCCTCCTGGAATATTCCACAGTAGTGGTGCTCTTCTTGAGGAATGTTCTAGTGTGCTTACACAGAGAAGCAGTCAGGTGTCTGATGAATCAATATCCCACTTGCATTGTAAACATCTTCCTTTAAGCATAAATTAGTCCAGGGTTAATCCTTTTCAAGTTCTAAAGCATATGTATAATAAGTAGGGAAGATTGAGCTCATAATAAAGCTCTTCATGATCTTTCCTACAGATCTGGTGGAGTTCACAGATGAGGAAGGGTACGGACGATACTTAGATCTGCATGATTGTTACCTCAAGTACATTAATCTAAAATCATCAGAGGTAAGTGGCTGCATGTGTCTGGGCAACTTGAGTCCTTACGGCTGAGGGGTTTTCTTTTGGTTGGTTCATGGTTATTTGGGAGGTTTTTTGTGTGTGTGTGGTTTGTTTTTTTGTTTTTTTTTTTACATAAGTAAGTTTGTTTCTAAATAGATATTTCAAAGTCGCTTTGCATATATAGCTTGACAGCATCTGAATTCCGAATGCTGCTTCATGACTCTTCTCTTTTGTTCTCTTCAGTTTATATCTCTCTATTGTTAATGTAATGATGGCCTTGTAAAAAGCCTCTGTTTTCTGCTACCAAGTAGATAGGTGTCTAAGGCAATGTGTTAGTGCACAGAGAACCCTGGGCCTCTGCAGTCCAGAATAATGGCATGAGCTAGCACTTTTCTGGTCTGGTAACTGGAAACTGGATGTTAATTTGGCTGTATGTGTATAAAATCTGACTCAAACATTTTCGTTCTTAGAAATTGGATTATATCACTTACTTATCCACATTTGACCAACTCTTTGATATTCCCAAGGAGAGAAAAAATGCTGAGTATAAGAGGTGAGACTTTTTGCCTACCTGCTTCTCTTATGACAGTTGATGAGAGAGAATTTGCTTCTTAAGTGTGCAGCTGCTAAGAATATAATTAACAGTCAAACTTAACTCCTGTAAATTGGGTCACTGAGCTATAGTGAGTCAGCCGTATGTCTGAGCCCTGAGAAAACATGCAGCGCAATAAAAATGTGGAGAGCCACGTTCTACTCTGTGGAAGGACCTTACTTTATCCTTGTAACTGCTACATCTAGAAATCATGTGTTGAAAACCGTCATAATCTTGATGACTTCCCTGTGGAGCACTAGAGGGTAATTACTTTCCAAAGATGCGGTTAGAGAAATACGATAGAGGTTGATATTGAATTACCTGTGCTCATGATTGCTCTGCCAGGTACCTTGAAATGCTTCTTGAGTACCTACAGGAATACACAGATCGAGTGAAACCATTACTGGACCAGAATGAACTTTTTGGGAAAATTCAGACTGAGTTTGAGAAGAAGTGGGAAAATGGAACGTTCCCTGGCTGGCCGGTGAGCAGTCATTAAGCCCGTGTGAATGCTTCTGTATTTCCGATAGGTTTCCTGTGAATCATTTGTGTAAAGTCATCACTAAGGTTAAGTCTAAATAGCAAGGTGTGTAGTTGTGTGTCACAAAGATGCAATTTAATATCGCAAACTAACTTGAATTAGAAAACCAACATAACCAGTTTGAAGTGAACCTTTTTTAAGGTTTGCTTATTTTGTATCTTTTCTATTATTCCATTGCTCAGTTTAGTGAGAGAATTTTTCTCTGTGAAATTAACTGCTTTTCTTGAGGTTAGAATGTTATATTGCGTGAAGGATGCAATATAGGATATCACAAAGATCTTGCATGCGTTTTTTCTTGGCAGAAAGAGACCAGCAGTGCACTCACTCATGCTGGAGCCCACCTGGATCTCTCAGCATTTTCCTCTTGGGAGGTATGTTTTCAGTGCTCTGCACTTGGTGCTAAATTTTGAGCAGGTGGAAGCTTAGTCGTTTTGTTTCTTTTCATAATGTTACTTGCTGCACTTTTGCCTCTGGCTCTGCACTCTCTGAATAAAACTTGATTATGCTGCTGACTTAATTTCTCCCATTAGAGGGATGTAACTCGAAAGATCTGGTTAGATTTGTCACATTCCTCACTTTTCAGTCAGGAGTGGTACACCCTTGACAGTGCATTGTCACCCTTTCTTGAATGCTGTTCATTTTTTGTTTGTTGTCTTTTTTCTTTTTCAATGAATTAAAATGGACATGCATCCATATTGCATTTAATAGCTTCTCTCTTACTGTGATTTACTTTAATTGAACAGGAATTGGCCTCCCTCGGACTGGACAGATTAAAATCAGCTTTACTGGCCCTGGGACTAAAATGTGGCGGGTAAGGTGCAGTTTTTTTGTAGTTCCTTTTCGGTTTTTTAGGTCTTCCTGTCTTGCATTCCTTTATGGAATACTTGTTTTGTCATCTCTATTGTAAATTCTGGTAAAGTAATTCTTGTACAAGAAAGACAAAACATTTGGAATTAATCAGGGGATGCTGTAGTCTACTTACTGAAGTCTCTGGTATAGAACAATCTGGCTTAAGGAATTAAGACAAAGGTAATAGGAAATTTCATGATCTCTTAAAACTAAATTTAGAATTTTGTTGTGTGGATTCAAATAGTTCTTGGGAAATGTTTGGACTCGTCTCCTCCCTGCTT